ATATATAATATATATATATATATATATATATATATATATATATATATATATATATATATATATATATATATATATATATATATATATATATATATATATATATATATATATATATATATATATATATATATATATATATATATATATATATATATATATATATATATATATATATATATATATATATATATATATATATATATATATATATATATATATATATATATATATATATATATATATATATATATATATATATATATATATATATATATATATATATATATATATATATATATATATATATATATATATATATATATATATATATATATATATATATATATATATATATATATATATATATATATATATATATATATATATATATATATAAAGTATATATATATATGTGTATATATATATATATATATATATATATATATATATTTATATATATATATATATATATACATATATATATATATATATATATATATATATATCTTTGTTATGGTTCTTTGCAAGTTTTGAAAGTCTGAGTGAAAAAATACAATACTAAATCAAATAAAAATCTTTAAAAATGATAAAACAAATTAAAGAATACATATATATATAAATATAAATATATATATATATATATATATATATATATATATATATATATATATATATATATATATATATATGTATATATATATATATATATATATATATATATATATATGTATATATATATATATATATATATATATATATATATATATATATATATATATATATATATATATATATATATATATATATATATATATATATATATAGTATATATATATATGTGTATATATATATATATATATATATATATATATTATATATATATATATATATATATATATATATATATATATATATATATATATATATATATATATATATATATATATATATATTATATATAACATAGACACACAAAGTATCATTGCTATTCTATAAAATATCAACTGAAACGTTTTGTTGGAATTTCGATATCTTTTGTTAAAATTCCCTCACTATACTGGTAACTTATATATATATATTATATATATATATATATATATATATATAAAATATATATATATTATATATATATATATATATATATATATATATATATATATATATATATATATATATATATATATATATATATATATATATATATATATATATATATCTTTGTTATGGTTCTTTGCAAGTTTTGAAAGTCTGAGTGAAAAAATACAATACTAAATCAAATAAAAATCTTTAAAAATGATAAAACAAATTAAAGAATACATATATATATATATAAATATATATATATATATATATATATATATATATATATATATATATATATATATATATATATATATATATATATATATATATGTATATATATATATATATATATATATATATATATATATATATATATATATATATATATATATATGTATATATATATATATATATATATATATATATATATATATATATATATATATATATATATATATATATATATATATATATATATATATAGTATATATATATATGTGTATATATATATATATATATATATATATATATATATATATATATATATATATATATATATATATATATATATATATATATATAATATATATATATATTATATATAACATAGACACACAAAGTATCATTGCTATTCTATAAAATATCAACTGAAACGTTTTGTTGGAATTTCGATATCTTTTGTTAAAATTCCCTCACTATACTGGTAACTTATTTAAACTTAATAACTAAACTCAATTTTTCTTTATTTAAAAATTGTATAGATTATAGTTTATAGATCATATAGTATAGAATATAGAGAATTGAAAAATAAATTTAAACGTTGAAATAACTAAACAAAATTAATAAAATCAAATTAGTCAACCAAACAATGCAGACATTTTTAATTAACCGAGTTAGCGCATAATATTTTATTCGCTAAGTTATATATAAATTTTTCTTTAAATTTAAATTTTTACTGAAGACTTCCATTAAAAGTCTTTAAGACAACTTATTTCTAAGGTAATTAGGACGTCTAAAGAAGGTTATAGGGACGTCAATAGGACGTCTTAATATGGAAGTCCTGATAACGTCTTTACGTTAACGCCACTTGGACGTCCTAACAAAGACGTTTTTACCGGACATCTTTAGGACGTCCTAATTTGGTATGAGACGTCGCGACCAAGTAAAAACGTCCGTTTGACGTCTGATTGATGTCTGTGCCCGCTGGGTATCTTTCTAAGGTAATTAGAACGTCTTAAGAAGGTCTTAGGGACGTCAATAGGACGTCTTTATATGGAAATCCTGATAACGTCTTAATGTTAACGTCACTAGGACGTCCTAACAAAGACGTCTTTACAGGACATCTTTAGGACGTCCTAATTTGGTATGAGACGTCGCGACCTAGTTAAGTTGTTCGTAAGACATCTGATTGACGTCTCTGCCCGCTGGGTATACTTTTTAATCACAAAGTATATTAGTTTTTAGGAATTTTTTTATGTATTAAATATTGTAATTTTAAGTTATAACTTATAATTTCCAAAGCATTTTCAATCGTTCTTAATGTGTTTGCATAAACAGAAAAAATATATACATATATACAATTTACTTCATAAAATTCGTTTTTGTCTACTCTCCCTAACTATTTAAACCTCTCCCTGTTTTTAACTAAGTAGGTTAGAGTACGTTAATAAATAAGTTTTGTTGAAAAGAAAGCATGTGATAAGAATAATATTGGTCTTACTTAGCATTTTAAGCACTTTATTTAAATTCTAATTGCATTGGAAATTCATTGGATTGCAAAATAAACTTGTTTATGTATTATAAAGTTTCCTATACAGTATTTATATTATTATCTTGATATATTCTTACTAGATCTCAAGTTTTAAATTATTGTTTTTTTTTTCAATCTTGCAGTATTGATATTAAAAAAATGTTTAAAAAAAAGAAGACAATTAAATTAAAATACAAGAAAAATATAAATAAATATAAAAGATTAATATAAGGATAGAAAACTAAAAACATAGTACGCAGGTGTTGTTTACATTAATTTTAAAATACTTTTGCTTTTTTTTGTACTTATTGCATTTGTTTACTGGAAATACGCCATTATTAATAAGTTTTATAACGAACAAATTAAAAAGTGGAACGGATATAATGGAAGTTTTGTGTTTTGGATTTATTCAAATTACTCAAACTAAAAATGAAACTCGGCAAAACTTAGAGATGAGCTACACAAGCACTTTCAGAACAAAAAATGATTTTTATATTAAAAGGAACAATATTTTATGGAGCCACTAGTAAAATGAATTGTTTAAAAAATTTAGGTGGGATTGTAGCCTGCCCTATATTTTATAAAATTATATAAAAATTTAAAATTTATAGTTTCTTTTAAGAAAATTTTAACATAGTTATCAAAATTATCATAGAAAAATAATGATTTATTTGATACCGATTTTATTTAATACCGATTTATCCATAATTTTATCCCGCAATTTTGTATCTTGTTTGATTACATTATCGACCCATAGTTTTATATTATATATTTTTATTTATCTTTAAGGTATATATTTTTATAAAGTTTCATATTTATAAGAATTTGACAAAAGTTATATATATTTTTGATTATAAACAATTATTGCAAACTCGTTTGCTCAAAACCTGTACATATTTTTAATCTTATAATTGAAAAACAATTTACCATAATTTGATTTAAATTTATAACTCTTATAAAAATTAAAAATGTATTCCTTGATGTGCTATATTATACTAAATAATGCTAACTGAAGATATAATTGATAATCTGAAATCAAAATATAATGTTAAATAATAATTAATAAAGATTTCTGCTGGACGTTAAAATGTATCAATACAGTTAAAAATAATCTCTATCCCAGCAAACATTCGGTCTAAAAAAGACGTCTTTCAAGGGGATAAAAAACGTCTAACACGTATAAAAAACGTATTAATATTGTTTTTTTTAGACCAAGTGTTTGCTAGGATATTCCTGTTGATATGTTTTTAATATATAAGTTTTGCAGCATTTCTTTAAAGTATATCAAGCAACAGGTTTTAATTATTTAAAAAATGTTTCATTAGGACATTTTTTTTTTAAATGTTTCAATTTTTTTTTCAGCTTTTTGAATTACGCGAAGGAAAAGTATTTGGACATGGTAATGATGAGGTTGGTACTTTCACTGTTGAAGGTAATTACTCTATGGAAGATTGCAAAGGAGTTATCAATATGGAGAAAAAATACATTGGTCAACACACAGTTCATTACGAAGGAACTATTCAATTAACAACAAATAGTTACGAGATAGAGGGAATGTGGAATATAAATGAGGAGATTTCAGGAAAATTTTCAATCGTTTTATATCATAACATAACAGTTTTTAACGAAACTCCTGAATACTACAGTAACCCTATCGATATTACTGGGTTAACAACCGGTTTTTATATACAAAATGGTACAAGGTTTGATATGAGTTTTGATAATTTAGCTTTTTTCAATGGCTGTATTACTGGGCGAGGCAGTGATAATAATGGTAGATTTTTTATTTACGGCAATTACACTGAACCTTTTCTAAATACAGATGTTCAGTTTACATTCAAAAAAGAATATGAGCAAACGCATGATGTTTCTTACTCGGGAATACTGAAGCAAGCAAAAAACCCTCTTCAATTAGTTGGACGTTGGATGATAGGTCAGTTGAGTGGGTATTTCTGTATTAATATCCCTCGCATAAGAAAGTTGTCAATTTACTTATACAGTTTTGTAACAGGAGAAGAATGTAAAAAAAACTTATTTGAAAATGAATGTGTAGACGGTAATTTTTACCTTCATGAAACAACCTTCAAAATGTCGTTCAAATTTTTTAGACTTAATAAAGGAAATGTTTCGGGACAAGGTAGTGACGATCTCGGTAGTTTTACTATTGAAGGTGAATACAGCAGTGAGGGAAAAATAAATTTTAAAAAACATTATATAGGACAACGCAGAAGCGTTGAGTTTAGTGGGACTATAGTTGGTGATGGGAAAGTTTTTGAAATTAATGGAACGTGGGTATTAGATGATAATATAGAGGGTAAATTTTTAATAAAGTTATTTGTATAACATCCAACAATTATAAGATATTTAGCATTATTTGGAATGAAAAAGAAGATTTTTTGAATTTTTTGATTGGAAGCGAATAAAAAAATTTTATGATTGAAAAATAAAGAAAGTTTATCAAATCATTTTTGTTATTATTATAATAATAGTTTACTGCTATAACTGTTATACTTTAAAAACTTAAGATTGTATTTTATAAAAATTTTCTCAAATTCTTGAAAACGATTAATACTCTTAACAATATAAAGTACAAAAAGTAATATTCAATATTAGTCTAATACAAAATAGATAAAACTAAAGCAGTATTTTTATAATGGCATAAAGTCTGTGAATTTTGACCTTTAAAAACGATTTATTTAAAACATTATAACTTATTAAAATTAAGATAAAAATGACAAGCCTTTTGCAAATTTGTACAACCGTTCAATTTTGCAAAACCGTATTACAGTTTGCTTACTGCTAGTAAAGCATTATTCATGTTTTACTAGCAGTAAGCAAACTGTAATACGGTTTTTAGTAGTTAAACTATTAATGACAATAAAAATACATTATCAACTTGATATATCTAAAAATTTTAAATTAAATACAAATTATTCGATAAATAATGTATTTTAAATTTGGCTCCCTATCACCATCGTTTTATATAAAAGATTATTCCCAGTAAGCACAAAGACGTTTAAAAGACGTTTTAAAGATGTCTTTAAGGAGGTCTAAAAGGCGCACTTGTAGACGTCTAGGTCATAAGGCTAAAAGACGTCTAAATGAAGACGTCTTTATAAAAACATTTTTAGACGTATTTTAGACGTTTTTTTCAAGATAAATTTAAGTACATGTCGTAACATTTTCGCGTAGTATGTGATATATATTCATTAATTTCACAACGATATATATTGATATAATTTCGTATATACAACATATACATAGGAACCAGCAATCAAAATAATATTGCTGTAATCACCGCCAATGGTTGATGCATCAAAGATGAAAATAATAAATAACAATAGCAAATATATATCAAAACAGTATTTTAAATCATTTTAACTTACCTTTATTTATAGTAAAATTTAACAGACATATTGCTAGATAATTTTTGAACGCATACTTGACTTATTATATGGCTTGTGGGTGTATAAAAACTAAAAATACTGATATTTAACTTATTTATTATTCTTGCCATTTTCACTTATTATCATGATCAGTCAACTATATTTATAGCAGCCGTGGCGCAGTGGTAGCGCACTTGCCTCAGAAATGGAAGATCCGTGGTTCAAACCCACCTCTGGGCAAGTCTTGCGATATCGGTTTGGAAGGAGGCGTGAACTTCCGATTAAATGCTCTTCCGCGGTGCTCTGTGATAAGATCGTAAGGACTTCTTGGAGCACCTTAATCAACTAAAAAGAAAAGAAAAAAAAGAAAAAAAAAAAAAACTATCTATTAAAAAAGCAAAATAATTATTAATAAAAAAAAGATATATTAATATTATAGCAACTGTTTTAGTGATTCCTGTGACAACAATTTTAGCAATTTTGTAAAAAAGTAATTTAATTTAAAGTAATTTACACTTAAAACTTGAACAAATTATTGCAAATAATAAAAACTATGTTTTTACTTTGAATAAACGACATCTACTTAACGCGTAATGACAAAGCCGTCAAAAAGAAGTCATAATGACATATTTATAAACAGGTCTCAGAAAAGACGTCTTTTAGCCTTATGATCTAGACGTCTTTTAATGCGTCCTTTAGACTATTTATTATGCGTCTTTTAAATGTCTTTTTAAACTTTAAAAAGACGTTTAAAAGACGATTAAAATTTATTATGCGCCTTTTAAACGTCATTTTAAAAACGTCTTTTAAAAAGACGTCTAGAAGATGTCTTAAAAATTGACGTCTTTTAGACGTTTTTTAATCTTTCAAAAAGACGCCTTTTAAACGTCATTTTAAAAACGCATTTATAAAAGACGTCTAAAAGATGTCTTTAAAACGTCTATTAAAGTGCGTCTTTACCTAGACTAGTTTTAGACGTCTATAAGCGTCGAAAATGCGTCTTGTGCTTACTGGGTTGTCATTACTTATAGTTAAAGACATAAAAGAGCCAGTTTAACATCAGTTAAGTTCTTTTTGAAATCAATTAAAACACAGCAGTTACCAAAAAAGAAAAGTCAAGTAAAGCATGCCAATACCTAAAAATGAAATTTTAAAAAAATGTAATTTTCAATAACAAAAGTTTTATTTGTTTTTTTTTTTGTTACTAGAATTAGAATAGTAATTTAACAGAAAATATTAAAAATAAAAAAATAAGCAAAAACAGCCTAGCTCTATCAGCACAAAATACACTAGCAATAGCGCATAGTATAAGATAATTGTAATCACACATTGCAGACATTATTGTGTTTCTCCAGAATAATTAAAAAAGAAAAGATTATAAAAAGGCTAGACATCACAATGTAATAACATAGGCAAATAAAACCACAAATTAATAAGATATTTTATCAACTAAGACGCTCAAACTAAAAACATTATATTTGTTACAATATTTGAATAATTATAAACAATTTGAACAATTAAATCATAAAATTGCAATCAACTCGTAAAATATTTTTTATACATGGTCATTATCAATTGTGGTATTAAAAAATACATAAGAGCTCCGTAATTACATAGGTTTTATTAATGCTCCCTGTACTAATTCTTGTTTAACTCTTAACTAAGAGAGAGAGAGAGAGAGAGAGAGAGAGAGAGAGAGAGAGAGAGAGAGAGAGAGAGAGAGAGAAAAGTGTTTCCAAAGCAGCATAAAAAAGAAAAAAAAAATAGTAAATAGTTTCATTATGCTAGCAAAAAACAAAATTATTTTTAACTTTTCTATGTAAAGTTCTCTTTAACTGTTGACTAATGAAATTTCGCATCTTATCAAGTTTGCAAAACCAAAACCATGTTTCAACAGTTAGCAAACTAATCAAATGATGACAAAGGCAAATAAAAAAAAAGAACATAATTATGTTTAAGGTGGTAGTATGATTAAAAACTTTAAATTTTTTGATTTTTTGAATATAACTTTTCGTGGTATTTTTATTTATGCTAAAAACGAGTGTTATTTTTTAATGTATTCAATATGAAACCGTCTATTTTTCATATTAAAAAATTGTACTATAAAATGTTGCAAAAGTAAATATTATTTATATCATCTTATTAAACTGCCTGAAGCATGTATTATCTATAGTAAGTTTTAAGAAATTACCAAGTGAAATTTGGCTTCTTTTTTTGTTTGAAAACATTGAAACCAGCACTTAAAGAAGCAGTTATCACCTAATTTCTTGTTATAGTTTTAGAAGGTGAATATCTTAAAATAAGCAAATGTTATCGATTTCAGTTATTGATGTTGGATATAGCTAGAGTATAATTGTTTGTTTAGATTTAAATGAATTTATTATTTCTAATATTATTACAATTAATATCAAAACTAAAGCTTTATGAAAAAAAAAATTGGTGTCTCAAGAGTGTTTAAAAAAAAAGCACTTCTATAAAATCAAGTGAGACAATTTTTTTCCCAAAATGAAGATAATTCTGAGAGCAAAATTATCATTAATTGACAGAAATGACTTTTTTTTAGCATTTTACTCAACTTTGCGACATCAACCAGCAATGTTGTTGCCAACAATAAACCTGTTCTACAACCTCAAAGTAATAAAAACGAGTCTAACTATGTTTTAATTGATCTTGATATAGTTGTACAAATTCTTACCTTAGTGGGAACACGCCCTGACAATGAGAGCAAGTCAACCAATATTAATATCAATCATAAAAACAAAAAAGCTTTAATTTCTTTATTGCTATTGATTTGCACTAAGTGTTCATAGAAAACAAAGTTCAATACTAGTAAAAAAGTTGCAAGTAAAACTTCTTCAAAGTCTTTTAATATAAGCTTACGTTCAGTAGTTGTACTGTTAAAAGATTATTTTGGAATTGATTCCTCAATGCTCCGGGAAATCTGTATATGAACTAAAAAAAAGTATAGGAACAATACTTTTTTATTGCTCTGAGGCATCATCTTCTGATGTAAAAAATGCTATTTCAAACTCAATTTAATAATACTTGGTGCAATATCAAGCAGTTAAATTTATAAAACAAATGTTTATGAAGAAAAACCTGGACTGCCTACTGTTATCAGGGACATAATTATGCCATTATTCATAGATTTATCAGATGAAAGCTTGTTAAAAAGAAGCATTCATGGAAAAGCTCAAAACATTTATGAAGTCTTGAATGCAATAATTTGGAAACGGTATCCAAAAGTTGTTTATGTGGGGCAAATTGCTAAAGAGATCAGCTGATATTAATTTTAATGAAGGTTTTGCTGGTATCTTGAATAGTTATTTAGAGCTTGGTATAAATTATGGCAAGAACTGTATTGCATTTTGCAATCGAATAGATTGTCAAAAAATTACAAGTACTGCAAAAAAAGCAACGTTGGAAACAAATAAGGGCAAAACTAAAAGGTTATAGTGATCGATATGAAGAAATTGAAGAAATAGCTGGGCCATACTCTGGAAGGTTTTAGTGGTTTTACTATATTTCAATTGATATAACTATTTGTTTTAAAAATTTTAAGTTTTTTATAATTATTTTAACTTTTTCTAAAAAAACATTTTTTTGTTCTACTATTTTTATATTTTACTTGACATGGATGTTCAAGTCTTTAGAATACTTAAAAATATAGTCAAAATTCATTATAAACTTAAATTATTCTTTTCCGGAAATATCCGGAAAAGAATAATTTCAAATTTATAAAAAAGTTTAAAACCATTAAAATTTAAAACAGTTATTAAGTCTTACTATAAATATTTATAAAAATTTCATGCTTATCGTTGTTCTAAAGTGTCTAATGTAAAATTTATTAACAGGCATTAAAACTGCTTGACACTGAATTCTGGCAATTAAGTTTTCTGTTCACCGAGCAGCATTTCTTACAATTCAACATTGAATAATTTAATCTTGCCTAGTTCTATCTTTTTCACTAGGACAACACTTATTTTTAAGTCGCCTATTAGCATTTTACACTAATAAATTCTTCGAGCCTAATATTATCCAATTCAATTTCAATGTTATCATTAAACATACCAGTAATAATACTATTGTTTTAACTAAATAAGGAATAAATGTAAAGAATCTTAAGAGTTGTGATTTTTTCTAACCAAATACTATATTTTAACTCATAACTAATTGAAATTCATATCTTTTTATATACAGATGCTATATATACAAATTTTATATACAGATGTTTTATATACAGATTTTATATACAGATGTTGTTTATCAAAAATGTAAAATATTATTTATTTACATTAAACATTTGTAATTTAACAAAAAATCTACACTACAACACACAATTAAACAGTATAAAAATTCAAGAATATCTGTATACGAATATTTTCTAAGAAAAAATATTCATATACAGAGATATCTATAACCAAATATAATATATATATATATATATATATATATATATATATATATATATATATATATATATATATATATATATATATATATATATATATATATATATATATATATATATATATATATATATATATATATATATATATATATATATATATATATAAACTAATAATTTATAATTGTTGAAGTTCTAATTTAGATTCTTCTGGTAATGCTTTATTTCATCAAATTTTTGGATATCATTCTCTGCTGTCTGATGTTCCAGAATTCAAAGAACTGGTTTAAAATTTCCGCTTTATTATCTTCTATGTCATCGTTAAGACGTTTGATAATAATTTTTTCTCCCTTAATCAAACACTGCATGAAGCTTAGCTTTAGGCGGTTTTAAATTTTCATTATTATTTTGCTGATAACGCAGTTTTCCTTATTAACATTAGACATTTGAGTTGAAATAAAGGAAAAACAAGTCTGATTGCTCAGTAATCTGATAAAAAGTTTCAATTAGTTTTGAAAGAGGATGGTAAATAAGTCATCGATTTTAAAGTAATAGAAAGCATTAAAATTTCTTTAAGTATCTAATGCAGATACTTAAAGAAATTTTAATGCTGATCTTCCAACAACGTCTAATTTATTAATAAAAGTATTGTTATAATCACAAAATTCTAATCCATATGATAAATTTGGTATAGAATTCGAGATTTTATAAGAGCTCTGGATATTGATTGAAATTGAATGATTCTTTTTCTTTACATTTGCTGATTGGATTGTAGCTATATTTTTTCCATGGCCTTAATTTTTCTATAGGAATCCGAAGTGTTTAAGGCAATTAAAAAGCACTTCAGCTCTTTCCAAAAATTAAATTAAACTTATAAAATTCTTTAAAAGCTTAGAAAAATTTATTAGCTTAAATTTGCTTGTAAAACCACGTGAATAATGAGAAACACATTTAGAAAAGTCAAGAAACCACTTTAAAATGACATATGCAACGTTGAACTTTGAACTATTTATTAGATGTTTTAAAAAACACATAAAAATTAACAATAATTTATTCTTCTATATCACCTAAATAAATCGCATGATAAATATGATATGAAAAAATGTAATGAATAATTAAATACAAAGAAAAACATCATATATGAAAATTGGAAATCAATGTACCTGATATGTAGAGATAACCTGCTGTTATTCCAGAGTAGCAGTTGTTAAATATTGTTACTTTTTGTTGACTTTTAGATAATAATTTGCGTGGGTACATCATGGCTCAAAAATATTTTTTGAAAAACAATGTAATAAACAGAACTAAAGACAAAAAGTCAAACTGAGATGTAAACAAAATGTATCAATGGAAAAATGATATGTCTTAAAACCAGCGAGTTCCAATAATAAAACTACATATTAATCATTTTTACAACTAACACTAACATAAAGGTAAGCCAAATGTAACAATATTTTTCAAATAATTAACAAAACTATGCAAAATGTCATTAAAAGATATCATTACGTATTTCCAGAAACTTTGATAATAAAGGCTAGAAAACATTTAGACCTAAAGCAGTGACACAGTTTGACACTAAACACTGCCAAGTCACACCTCAGCTAAGTACATCACTTGGCTGGCAAGGTTGAATTATCTTGCTCTACACATTTGTCAAGTCACAGCATTTTGAAAACATGGAAACAACTTAATATAAACATATGTACCAACTATAGACACAATATATACATTTAACCTTATATAAACATATTTTAAAACATTTATAAAACAATTATATAACACGTTACCACATACACAAACAACTAAAAACCATTTTACACTATTATAAAAAACACTAGCTGGGGTGACCCGTAAAATACGGGTCTTTACCGAACCGACCATTTTTATACTTATCTATAGCTATCCGGACGTAAACTAAGGGTCTTAGTAAATCTATTCTACACCGACCTTTTCTATACTTATTCCTTACCTCAATATTTTTTTAAAACCGTTTAAAAATGTACATATAAAAAACTATACTTACTTTTTGATATGACAAAAACATTTCTGTTAAAATGTTCTTTTAAAAACTTCAAACGATTTTAATATTATGCCGATTATAAAAATTTTAATAAGAAAAAACGTAAAAAAGACTACGAACTTAGAAAAATGCTAAAACATTCAACACGTGACGCCGTTAAAGTACGCCTTAGTTAACGTTCATAACATATACACATCTAATTAGATTTTATTTAAACTCAGTTGTTGCAAACTTGGTTTTGAATTTTTAATTACACTTCTTATGCGTCATAAATAATCTTAAATTTAAATAGAAAATACGTTTATGGGCTAATTGGTAGACGCGCAACACTTAGACATTTATAGTCATCTTACCCCGGGAGTTCATACTCCAGTGACTTTTTTTTTTCATCCCAACTTACAACAAAAGTAATTAAAAATAAATGTTATCATTGAAACAGTTTTAAACATTTCTTCCTATTTATCTTTGAACTTAACTTTATTCACTGCAAACATACTTTTGGTGTTTGTAAGCGTTATTTTACGTTTAGTATTTGTAGGAATTATTTGCACGCACGTATTTTAAACAATTATTTTTACTGTTTTATCTAAAAATCTTATTTAATTTAGTTTAATAATTTCTTAAATATAATATATATAATATAATTTAAAATATTTTATTAACCCTATTTAAATAAGTATCAAAACTCTTTCCTTTAATTTAAAAAGAATTTAAAATTAACGTAGGCTATAACGATATTTTACCCTTTCATCAACATATATTTAAAAAGTAAATTTGGATATAGAAAAACGGGTTAAAGACTTATTATTTTAAATAAGTTAGCTTTATCTATTTAATGCTTTTCGTAAAAGCGTTTCTTTAAAGACTCTTAACAAATCATTCAAGCTGTTTTTACTGCCTAAGTTATTAAACCTGTTGTGTGTGCCAAAAATCGATACTTAATGCAAATGGAAACTTCGAGTGCTAATGGTGATTAAAGCATAAATGGTTCCTATTCATATATAATAAAAGGAAATATGAAAGACAATGCAAAAATGATTTTTATATCCATTTAAACCAATAAATCCCAAAATAAAAAAATATAGATATTTACTTAAAAACATATTTTTCTTGATATAAAATAAAAATATAACCTTTAGTACAAATTACAAAAAAAAAATTTGTTCAACAGAGCTACTTATAATACAATTTAAATTGAATCATTGTTTCATAAATATTAAGCTTTAGGTAAGCCATAATCAAGTCAGCTATAAGAAACGGAACTAAAAATGGAACAAAGTTATTTAAACGCATAATCATAATCATACACATTAATTACAAATTAACATGTCATGCAATCAATACTTTTGAAAACTCAAAAATGCGAATAAGAAACTTACTTTTTTATTTTTACATAATCCTGACAGACCAACATGAATGTGAGCTAAATCTATTTGCATAAAACATCACAACAATTAATTAAATAGCAGAACCACCTCCAAAGGACGAAAATATTAGTTTTTTAAGGAAAATTAGAGTTATTGGGAGGGGAGGTATTAATAAATAAAAAAGCTCAACTTGAATTTAAAAATTAGTTCATAGTTTTGTTGAGGGTTATTGAGTTATTCTGAGTTTATTATACATATTTTAAACTACTGACACCACACACTTATATTCTTAGTTCTGGAAGGTGCTAGATAGAATTTGATTGTGTGAAAACCAAATCCCTTTGAGATTAACATTAACTTTATCAAATGTATGACCGTGACTTCTATTTCTAGTTAATGAGCATTGTTGATAAAGGTGTCTTTATTTAAATGAATTACTTTGATAACATTTAACATTCATGGGAAAAATAAAAAACAACACAAAAATAAATTTACAAAAATATATTACAAAAAAAAAAATGAAGTGGCTCAAAAGTTGTCAATTTCTTTACATTTTAATATGTAAAAAAATTATTAACAACTTTTGCGCCACGTTGTCTTCTCCTCCCAGCATCCGCTCTATTCCCCGTGTTGTATGGGGTGCCATCCCTCCATCTAAAGGAGGGATGGTCGTCCCCATACAAACACCAGCGATGGAAGGCCCTCATAGATAGAGGGCCTGGATGCTGGGAGCGATACTTTCTGAATTCTTCCCATGACTTCGAGCCTGAAAAAAAAATTATATATAAATACAACTATGTACCAAGGTAATACTTACAAAAAATCTACTGTAAAAAAACAATAAAAGCAAATAATGTAATAAATTAAGTACAAGTGAGCACAACAACTTATTTTTTTTACTCACTAATACTTGACTTATTACATTAACTAATTAAACTGGAAAGCACATTTGTAGCTATATTAAAAAACAAAAGGTACAATAAAAGCAATCAATCAATGTAATAAGTCAAGTAAAGGTGAATATAACAACTTACTTGTAACAGAAGAAGCAGCAGCTAGAGATAAATAAAAGAAAATTAAAAATGCAATAAAACCAATTAATCCATAAATTAAGTCAAGTATAAGTGAATAGAACAACTTACTTGTAACAGAAGAAGCAGCAGCTAGAGATAAATAAAAGAAAATTAAAAATGCAATAAAACCAATTAATCCATAATTTAAGTCAAGTATAAGTGAATAGAACAACTTACTTGTAACAGAAGAAGCAGCAGCTAGAGATAAATAAAAGAAAATTAAAAATGCAATAAAACCAATTAATCCATAAATTAAGTCAAGTATAAGTGAGTACAACAACATACGTTACTGAGGAAGTTGGATTTGTCACTATATAAGTGATATACATTATATTATTTATTAAAACTTTTATGAGACATAAAACATAATATAGTTACTTACAAATGTAGTTTAAAATGATATCTAAAAAAATTGACCAAAAAGTACAAAGTCCAAAACTAATCTCAAATTGAAAAAACGCATTTAATATTAGATGTACATAAATAATTAGGGTGTATAATAAACATAAAAGCAATTTTACTCACCTATGGACTTTTGTAAATCTTCTAATTTTTCTAAATAGATGAACAAATTACTAAAGCCAACCTCATTATTTTTTATTTAATATACATAAAAGTAATATAATGAAATTTTGCTTACTAACTCTACTTTCTAAATTTTCTAAATAAACAAAATGTATGAAAGATTAGTTCATAAATTTATTTACTGTAACATAAACTTCGAAAAAACTGAAGTAAAAAAGAAAAAATAGAAAATGCTAACTTTGATTATCTAAGAATTCTTTCAAATAAGGCAGAAAAGACTCTGTCTCTTCTGCCACTATCTCCTGCGCATCTAAGATATACACACAATACAATATATACATTTAGCATATCATATGATAAAGCACTACATCTAGTCTAGAAAATATAATAATCACAACATCTGGTCTAGAAAATAAATTCCAAGTTTCTAGTTGAAAAACACATAAAGATTTTTTTCTTATTTCAAGATTTGAATTTTACATATAATAATGAAATTTCACTATTAAATAGCTGCGTGTATATAACTATATAACTATTACCAACAATCAAATTACTATTAGTATACAAATATTTGATAAAAAATATGCTACTGATTTCTCCATACTTGAAATAAATTTTTTATAACTATCACTTTATATAAATAGAAATTGTTTACTTCTAAAGAAATTATAGTTTACTTACTTCTAAAAAAGTCACCATCATCGTCTAAAAAGAGAATTACTTGATATTTTTATTTATTTCCAATAAATAAAATATGATAGCAGTGCTTATTTTGTCTATCAGTTAACCCAACACTGTTTATAAGAGTGTAAATTGTTTGTCTATTTATATTTATATATTTGTATATGCGTACTAAATAAAGTATAGCGTTTGTGCTGTATACGCATATATTAGATATATATAGATATATAGATATAATATCTAATATAAGCGCATACAGCACTAACACACATATGCAATAAATACATACCGTTTAAATTTTCTTGTGTGTTCATTTCTAAAATAAAAAGTAAATATTTATTCTCAATTCTTACACATATTCTTAAGTCTAATTTAACTTAAAATCATAAAAACTTAATTTGAAGATTTTAGATATTCAAAACAGTAACTCACTCAGATTCTAAAACTATAAAAGAGCTATAATGAGCGCGTGGCTGTCTTTTGAGTTGTTTAAGCATCCAGTTGGCTTTCAAAATGTAATCTTTAATCGCTTATATTTCTTTAGATTTTAAAATACGCTGTTCGAAAATCGGATTTGGAGTATTTATAATTAAGAGAATTATGTAATTTATGCAAACAAAAAGAAGGGGAAATTCAAGGGTTGCAAGACGTCCGGCTTTTATGAAGAAAAAAGCAGTAAAAGAACTGAACTGTATATGTTTGGGACTATATTCTACTCTGTAAAAGCCGGTCATTTGGCAAACCTAAGTAAAAATGATGTTACACATTACAAAGAGACAATATAGTGAAAGCAATATCAGCATTTCCATGTATATCAGGAAATTGGAATCCTGTGTTTAAGCGAGTCATTGTGCGATAGTTCTTTTCAAGTTGTTTTTGCTGCTTTTTGAAACTTAAATTACAATTATAAAATAAAATGAAAAAAAGACATCAAATATAAATACTGGAAAGTTTTCATACTGTTTTAATAGACCAATAGAATAATTTATCGATGAAAACAAAGTTTCTTAGACCCGCAGTACTCCTACAACACCACACTAAAACAGTTTCTCTACCACACATAACATTTTCTACTATTCCTAACATAGTTGTTATTGGTGACTAAAATTAGAAGAGCATAAAATTTTTTTTTTACTTAACAAAATAAGAGTTAACTCTAACTAAAATGCTACAAAAGAACTCGGTTTCCTGTAAAACGTTTTTCGAAAATAAATAGAAAAAGCTTTGTTTTTTATTGTGGTGTTAAATCGAATGAAACAATAATTGTTTATGGATTAAGTAATAAAGGTCCGGTAACTTTATTTATCTAAGACAATTCGTAATTTATTTTTCTGCCATACACTAAAAAATATCGAAGTAAATGGTTGGTGTGAATTAAGTTTTTATGATGCCTAAGTATGCGCAATTTTTCCACATACTTTTGGTTTATTAGAATCGTATATTTATATCATATGCCAATATTTTGATGATTCGAAACAAAAACTTTGAATTGAAGATTTTTAAGGTATTGTAAAGAAATAACCCCATCTAACGTAGTGATGAGCAGATTCGAAAATTACGTGGACCTAACAAAAGTGTATTTAACATAGTTACCAATTACGTGACATTTCTCCCAGTGTTTTGGCAAACTTTTTTATAAAATTTAACCTTTCCTATTTAAAAAGGAGAAGTATTTGACAAAGAATCAGGTGACGAATCCTAATTATGTCAAAAATTAGCTCTATTTGTTTGAAAAGCAAATTTTCTACAATAAACTCGCAACAAATTTTTCTAAATGTTTATAAATTAGCAAATTATTAAACTACTATAGCTATTATTTGTACCGAAAATTTGTAAAATACTTAATGGGAATGGAACTATCTAGATCTGTAATTACCATGGTAATAAAAGTATTAACGGTTTCCATTCATATATAACGGAGATATATATAAAAAAAGCAAAATGAGCAATGTATCCATCAAATACTATAATTCCAAAGAGAAAAAATTTACAAATTTGTGTGAGAAACAAAAAACATTTTTCTTGAGATAAAATTAAAAAAATAATTTTTTTTTTTTTAAATTTTACAATATCTATTATATATAACATAAAAAGTCAGAAGTACTTTATAAAATCAATTTGGTTTGTTTCCCTATAATATATCTTTTAGTAAATGGTATAAAGATTAACAAAACTTCCCTTTGGATGTTAAAAAACGATCAACATTAAGAGAAGGCATTCGAACTAAAATAAAACAAAATTATTGAAAACATAACACATTAATGTACTCTTTTATTTAAAAACTCAAAAGTGTGACCAAGGCGATATCAAATAAGAAACTTACTTTGAGATTGTTTTTTTTGTGTGAATAGGTTTTGTGTAAAGGTTTCAAGATTTTTTGTTGCAAGTTTCGATTATAAACTCTTTTCAAAAAAAGCACACTAAAAATAATCAAAAAAAGATAAACCCTTACAGTTTAATATAAAAATTGAATGCTTGGCTTTTAGTGAATGATTATATATAGTCAGTTTCAGTATGAAACAACCCTATAATCATTTTTAACGATAGACACCGACGTGAAGGTAAGCCAAGTCGTCTATCAACACAAAACATCACAACAGTAACATCACAAACATCAATAACAAATAGCACAAAATCTTACAGTAAAGACTCAATAACTTAAACCACCAAAGGATCCAGCAATTAGCTTATTAGAAAATATTTCAGTTAGTGGTAGTATGATCCATAAACAATCGCTCAACTGGAATTTTAAAATTAGTTTGATTTATTCAAGTTGATTTATTGAGTTATCCAGACTTTATTGTAAATACTTTATTTACTAACAGCATAACATACTTGCAAGTACACATTTTGTGATTACAAAAAGATTTTATTATGTGTTTCATGTCAGTACGCCGCTTGGCTAGCAAGGACAACACTCTTGCCATAAACAAAGCCAAGTCACATTATTCAAAGTACACCGCTTGGCTAGCAAGGACAACACTCTTGCCATAAACAAAGCCAAGTCACACCACTTTGAAACCATGAAAACAACATAATAACAACTCACAAACTATAAACAGATAACATAACAAAAAATACACTTCATATGTAACAGCCATTTACACATTAATTACACATAAATACTTACAAAATATAACATACTTATAAGTACACATTTTGTGATTACAAACAGATTTTATTATGTGTTTCATGTCTGTACATCACTTGGCTAGCAAGGACAACACTCTTGCCATAAACAAAGCCAAGTCACATTATTCAAAGTACACCGCTTGGCTAGCAAGGACAACACTCTTGCCATAAACAAAGCCAAGTCACACCACTTTGAAACCATGAAAACAACATAATAACAACTCACAAACTATAAACAGATAACATAAAAAATACACTTCACATATAACAGTCATTTACACATTAGTTACACATAAACACTTACAAAATATAACCTTAACACATATTTAAACACATAATAAATATCACACATTACTGCATCAAGCAACACACAAAAATACTTTAAATTACAGTTAAAATATTTATAAGAAATGAGGAGTTTAATTGTAAAAAATTAATTATTTATAGATTTAGTACATTGGTAAATACAACATTGTTTGTGTAGCATTTGTTAAATGACATACCTTGTAATGAATGCTCATCAATTTTAAAAAATAAGGTATTAAACGATCTTGTTCTTGAACATGCAACATAGAGTTGACCATGTGAAAAGCAAGGGTTTTTGAGATAAATACCAACTTTGTCAAAAGTTTGACCTTGACTTTTATTTATGGTCATTGAGTATGCTAATCTTACAGGAAATTGACGACGCTTAAGAGTAAAAGGTAAATTTGAATCAGATTGTGTTAACTGAGCCCGAGGGACAAATACCCTCTTGCCAACTGAAACACCTGTTAGAACTTGCCCATCAATGTAATTATTTTGTAGAGCACGCACTATCAATCGGGTACCATTGCAAAGTCCAGCTTTTAGATCTAAATTTCGAAGTAACATTATAACAGCACCAATTTTTAGCTTTAGGCAATGAACAGGCATTCCTGATGGAGTAAGACTGTTTAAAAACTCAACAGGAAAATTATTGATTTCGTTAAGATCATCTGTTTCAATAGTATCAGCACTTAAATAAACCTTAACGTCACCTGGTAAACGGTCCAAAACTTCTTCATTTATTGCTAAAGAATCAACATTATTGGGTGTCAAAATGGCACGTTTAGCATAATCATCTTCTTCTGTAACTCCAAAAATCTTGTCTACTAAAGATTCATTTTCTCCAAGCAAGCATTGCTCAGGAATCTCAATGCACCCGCGAAAGGAACCATTTGCTTTTAAAGGTAATGTTCCACTACCAAGTTTTAAAAGCCATTGAGAGAATTCCTCTTCTTCGGCCTGAACCCTCATATTTTCTGTTAATGAAAATCGCTGAACATATTGCTAATGTTGAGAACATTTTATACAGGCTTCAACAATATCAGCTGGTTGCCCTCTCTTTACAACCGGAAGTATTTGACTAAAATTCCCACCCTTAAGAATAACTTTACCACCGAAAGGAAACTTGTTATTGCAAACGTCTTGAAGTAACTTATCAATGGCATTTAAAGCATGTTTAGGTATCATGGATGCCTCATCTAGTAAATAAAGGCTAACTTGCCTCAAGAATTTTCCGTGTATAGAATTTGGAGTTACATTGCATGTGCTATTTTCCAAAATCGGCACAGGAAGTTTGAACAAACCATGAAGTGTACATCCTTTTTTTAAAAGAGTTGCAGCTATTCCTGTCCATGCAGCTGTTGCAGTTATAATATGTCTACTGCTGGTTTCAGCGATTAAATAATTGTATGTAAATGTTTTACCACAACCTGCAGGGCCATCCATAAAAAACAATCTAGACTGCTTGTTTTCATTGTTAGGTTGCTCACTAAGAGCAGAAAGGATAGCATCAGCAATTTGACGCTGATTATCATTTAACAATGGTCTAACCCTATTTGCTTCATCAATTAAAACCTGAACATCTTCCTCTTGATTTTGTGGGACATAATCTAAAAACTCATCTAAAGTAGGAAGATTAACATCAGCTAAAGTCTTACCATTCTGATTAATTATAGATTCAATTCATGCAATGCATCATATTGCTCACTTCTAAGTTTGTTTTGGTTATTTCTAATAAAAGCAAGGCGCTGTCCCTCAACTTTGACATATGCATCAACAACATATTGCTGGAAAGGTTCTTACCATAGAATATAGGACTAAAAGTTTGTCTAACAGCAAGCCTATGATTATAATACTGAGACAAAGTAACATGGTTTCTAACACGGGTTGCACGGTCAGGGTTGTGCTCTAGTTGATTGTGCCATCCAGCATCACCTCTCGGGAAGAATATTGGATATACCAAAGGATCCAAATTTGCAGACATAGACGAAATTGTTCTTAAAGGCT